TTTATTATGACACTTTGTGCATTTCCTATCCAAAGACTTGGACAAAGTCTTGACAATAAAAGACACCATGTTTGACTGAATTTCTCATGCCATTTGGAAGATGAAGGTGGGGTGGGAGCTGAAAGAAGCAGCTCTTCATACAGCATTGCTGTAAGGGTTAGGCCAATCTTTTTTCCAGGTGTGGTCTTACCAAACTTCTGCTAAAAACGTGCCATTCCACATAGGCTTGCTTTTGGGGACTGGCTGGGAAACTCAGAATGATTACCTAACTCCTTTTTTTGACACCAGGTTAAAATCGGTCAGTGACAATGAGATGTCTGAGGGAAAAAAGTGGTGTTTTTTTACAGGAAATTCTTTACACGGCCTCATTGGATGTGATTAAAACACCATCTGAATATATGACTTCTTGGATTAGTTGCCACTTTGCTCTCCACTCAGGTTGTGGGACTAAGTGGTAAACGAACGAGAGCATCAGCTAAGGCCAGTGAAAGATCTCACCTTGCAGGGCTAACAAATGAGGCTACTGGGAGCCCTTTTGGTCTGGCAAGGACAGATAGCCCACTGTTCTCAAGTGGTAGTCAGTGGTTGTGTTCTGAGGTGTACTGGTTGTGAGCATTGGCACATGAACAGAGCTCAATATGACACTGTGCAAATGGCCATGCATGACTGCAAAGATGAAACCTTCCTTCTAAACTGTCTGAGCCAACAGAGAGTTAAAAATTATGCTTTTTAATCCTACGCATGCAAGAGATTAGACCCATCACAAATTCCTACAGATCAGAGGAACTCAGCATTGTTATACACTAGGGTTCAGACATGGCTCTACTGCTACTATGCAAAATGTGTTCTCCACGTAAAACAGACACAGGTGCAATCATAAATCCCATCACTTATACAAAAAAAAAATCTGTAATAAAATTAAACACCTTTAACGTCTGAATTTGTTTCAATGACGTGTGTGAAACCTAAGTACTCTATACCACAGAGCTACCTATGACTTTCAACAAAGATATTTAATATACAGATCAACATGTTTTTCCAGACCAAAAGAAGAGGAATTTAGGTTAATTTAATAGAAAAAATAAAATATGGAATAACATTGATTTTGGCCATTATCAATTACAACAGAACTACTCTATTTTACAAATAACAACTGAACATTTTACACATGTACAGTATTTTTTCAGTAAAAATGAATTTGATTAAAACAATGTGTCAGATTTTTTTAAAGAAAACAAAGTTATTAATTTCTTCTCTATAATAGTGTTAGAGACATTTGTAAGTATCCAAAAAAATTCTTTACAATCCATTACATAATTAAATCTCAATAATGAATATATATTTATATATAATATATATAATATTAACTTAAACTTCGAAAGCATTATGTTCTAGTTAAACACGTTATACTGAGAAATGAGGCAGCAACAGACTAGTAGTTAAACTAGCACAAATTTGAATGTTTATCTGGAAATTTGTAATGGGCACCAAAGGAGCCTGACTGTCCCGTGTCATACTGAACCAGGCTGTAATAGTTTGCCTGCTCCCTGCTAAAGAGGACATTACCTACAGAAGTTTGTATCCATTCATTTGTAAAACCTCCACAATAATTTTTGATAATTTTTTATCCCCTTTATTTTCCAAGACTTACGTTCTTAAACAGATTCAATCCATTCTCTGTTTGTATGCCCTGGAATGCTGAAAAAGACACTTTGTATGTTTTAAGTATTATCCCCTGTAAACAGTAGCTTTGAAGTTCAATTTTCTGTTTCCTGTGAAATGACTGTCTTTTGAACTGTACGCTGAGTGAAGCTGATGAAGATATATTAAACAGAAATTTGTACTGGCAGCCATGTGCCTGGGTAGGAAAGAGTGAGGCTGGGCCACTTCTCTCATCACCCAGGACCATTTTATAGTGAAGTAACTCCATTGGCCTCACGAGGACTATTCCTGTTGAAATTTCTATTGTGAGCAGTTAAAGCAGATTCAGGCCCATCACGACACCAAGAGAACCACTGGTTTACTGCCCTTTATGCAATTATACCTGGAGTTGTATTTGGCACAATTATAAATTCAGTCCTGTAAACACATCCTGTCACACATAGTCACACTGGCATTTACATATGGGCACTATGAAATAGTTCCACATATCTGTATGATAATATCCCCTTTTTTTAAATGAACATTACAAGACAAAAATAATTTATGAATACTTCTTACATGTTAGCAATGTTTTCTGACTTCTGAGCATATACATTACTCTCACTTATGCAAATCAAGAGAAGTAGTATCTCCTAAACTTGTCCACTACAGGAACAATTTTTTTTAAGCTTATTTGAAATAGCTTTGACAATTTAAAAAAATAAAATAAAAATCCTAGCATATCTGTTAATAAGCTAGCTGTCTAAAAATGAAATCTATACGACCAAAACCCCATTTTGGGCAAACATACATACATACTGCATGTGATAAAAAAACCCAGCATACAGCAGAGGAAGCAAGAAAGAAATGTGTTCAGAAATGTTCACTTTTCATTTTTTAAAATACTATTACAAAAGGGGCAGAACTTAGTCCTGCACTAATGATGTTTCTGATCCCCTCAGGAACTCAAGTTCCCCCTGTCAATACACACTGCACAAAAAAAGACTAATGCAAACTTTTTTGTATTGTTTAGTTTTAATCCATGTAAACTTGTGTTGTATTCTTGAAACACTCTTTAAACATCTTGAAGTGGAAAGCAGCAGGAAAAAAGGGAAGAAAAAGGACTTTCAAAAAACAGGAATAATCCTAAGGTTGACAGGAAATCAAATCAAGAGTTAAATGTTAATTTTGGCATCAGATGCTTTGGTCACACAATACTGACTCTGCGATCCTGGATGCTCAGCTCTAGACACCCAGTTATGAAAGGTAGGCGTGTTGTAGTTTTTCCATTTAAGTTCCAACAAACAGTTCACCATCTCCCCAGACAAAGAAGAGGGAGAGAGAGAAACGTGGTTTTCTTTCTTTCCTTTTTTTTTTCCTTTTTTCATTTTTCAATAATATGGATTAATCTATAAGTCTATAGGAGCAGGAGGATGCTGGGAGGTGTCATTTCACCCCTTTTGTTTACATGTTCTGCAACACAATTGCTGAAGCACTTTCCGCTGGCAGAGATTGTTCTTTTTCACCAGCATACAGAATCCTCCCTCGGCCCAGGACTCTTCCGTGGCTTCCAGAGGGTAGCAGCAAGAGAAGGAGGAGAGGTTGAAGATTTGGAGAGCATGGCGTGTACAATGGAGGAAGGTTTAATTGGTCAGATAGGCAGATTTGGTTGAAGAGACCGTTCAAGAGCAGGTAGCAAATAGGAAATTTGGTCCATCAAAAGGAATTCCAGTCAACAGCATTTTTTTTTCAGGGAGAGATATTGTGTGGTCCGACAGGGAATGATTTGTGTCCATTTGTGAAAAGGAAAAAAAGATTAGAAAGAGAATAATTAGAAAACAGTGATATTTACAGCAAAGGAATTCATTCTCAATTTTTATGAATCAAAAGAATAAAACAATCAAACCACAGAAAAAGAGTAAAACATTCTCAACAGAAATGCAAATCCTGCAGAGTGAGTTAAACTAGTAACCAGTGCTTGATTGTAATGAGACCCTCTCTGCTTTGTAAATTAACAGGAAAAAAAAAGTTTCTGATTTTCCTTAGCTCTCCTACACTGTTGAAACACATGGTGTGTGGTGTGATCCAGCATGGTGCACTGTAATTGCCTGAAGGCCAGCAAACCGATGTGTTGCTCTCATGAGAGCTGCATTTGGAAGAATGGTAGAGACAGTACTGAGATGGGGTCTTGGGCAACTTCACGTGTATGTGACTGAAGCTGCATGTGTATAAATGAAGATGGATTTATCCAGCCATAATAAAGACCAAGCTGGTATCTCAAATGTTTGCATTGTAGAAATCAATTGCAATACCATATTGAGACCATTGTTATTCAAAATTCTTAGCATTATGCTGCTTCTTCATTTATCTGTCTATATCTGGCTACTTCTGGACTTGCTCTAGATTACAATGACTCTTCCAATCTCCTGATGTGAAAAAGTCTCATGACTAATTTACCAGTACCTGTAACATAACTTTACAATGGACAGGGTATTTTCAAAATTTGAAGGACTAAATTCCAACAGGAACTGTGAAGGTCCACAGAAAGAAGACTCTCACCTGCACCATTTCTTTTTTCTTTTCAAGTCTTTGGTAAAACTCTTACTAAATCCAGTGGAAACAAGCTGGACCCAAGAGTCACTTTTAACTTTTACTATGTCTGATGTCACATATCTTCGTGGACTTTGTTCTGGTGTGATTTTCCTGTTGGATTGCACTTAGTGGGCTCTATCTACAAGTAATTCACACAGTAACATCTTCAGGGAAGCACAGTGTTATCTAAGTGTCTCTGTAATTGTGACATTTAAAAGGAATGAATATTAGTGAATAATTATGCCAATCATATGCAATAAGAATGCTATCTTGGTTGGCACAAAGAATTTGGAGGAAGTTCAAATCACCCTAAATTGCATGCTCCCTATTTCAGAATTCTTTTGTTCTCATCACCCTTTCATACAATTCAAGCAATGCTGCAGGCACTTTAAATCGTTTTTACTTACCAGCATTTTCACAGCTAAAGTGGTGAAATAGATAAATGTAATAGTAAAATTAATAGTACTCTAGGGTCTTCATATAAAAATCTGTTGAAAGCATTGGCTTTGAAAAAATTATAAGGAAGGAAAAATAGGTTGTTGGCAGGGGGAAAAAATGATATTTGGAAAATTCAGGTAAAGTGGATGTGACTAATCTACATGCAAATGTAGTGTTCTCCTTTTCATACACCTGACAAACTTAAAAAATGTAACTCAGACTTTAAACCAATACTCAGAGAAGAAAAGAAACAGACCAAACCAACCCAACACACATAAAAGAAGAAGCTGGCAGGGGTAAAATGGATCTTTGCAGAGAATAGCACTTACCATCCTTGCATACTGTTCCCATCACACAGGCACCACTGTCTAGGTTATAGCCACTTGGACAGCTTGTACAGTTTCTGTCTCCTTGACCACTACAATCCAAACAGCTGGCATCGCATCTGAAAGACAATGGCCCACCAAATACAAGAGTTTCTAGATACATTTTCTGTATTGAAAAGGATTGTTTGCTGTTTCTAGAGCTATCAGGTGCCACAATACTGCTACTACTAATAATTATGAGGATAAAAAATTAGCTACCCCTGCAACCCAGTCCTGCATCTTTCCATCAACAACTTTCTATTCAAACTTTTTACTAAATAGCTGCATTATTCTAGTGTTTTGGAACTACGCAGAAACAATCAACAAAAGTATTAAACTATTCGTGCATACATGTGCCAAAAAGGCATGAGGAAAGCTGCAGGAGAGAATGACTGACGTGTTGCCCAGTCCTTTCATCACCCATCTGACTCCATTGTATTTTCATTGCATTTTGATTATTTTTTCTGTGTGGAATATACTTAAACACATGATGACTCCCTTCCCACCCCGAATTCAAAGTGAGTCAATGACTACAAAGGGTAACAAATGATATTTGTTTAACGAAGAATAGAATAAAAAAAATCCCTTCCTTACACAGCACAACTTTGTCCAAGATTTCTCCAGCCTTTTGTACACTGAGTCAGATAAGCTATCCTGGACAGTACTTTAGAAATATATTTCTGCTATGTTTGTGAATATGTAGTGTAAGAACTAAAGTGCTCTTTATAAATAGTAATTAACTTGCAATTAAATATCCCCTAGTTTGACTATTTTTGTCTGCTATTAAGAAATGCAGATCATCTGTCAGATTTGTAAATTTTATACTTTTTCACTGCAGACTGTTTAAACTGAAGGTCGCACTTTAAAGAAAACTTCACAAGAAAAGTCACACTTTACAAGAAAAAATACTTTCAGAAGACGTATATAAATACAAATCAGATTAAAATAAATAACAATAACAACAACAACGATAATAGCAACAATAATAATAATAATAGCTTTTCTGTCACCTGCTTAGCATGCAGTATATTTTTTTCTACTTTTGAAGTCAACGGTATTTTATCTTCTCATAAATATTATCTTTTTCAACAGAGTAATAGCTACTATGCTGCCAAACTTCAGATACATTAGCCACTGATCATACCTTTTGCAGCTTTTGTATCCATTTTCAGTATAGTGATCAAGATAATAACCACTACTACAGGACTGCACACATCTTCCATCTTCCATAAAATAACCCTGTGTGCAGTTTATACAGGCATCTACTCCAGCACCTTAGACCACAGAGAAATTGTTAGAATTCATGTACGTTGTTAGAATAAACAACATTACATAATTTCAGTGTACTTTTTCCTGAAATAAATGACTCTTTGTAGTTCTAAAGCTCCTACAAAATCTAGCAAATGGAGGGCATTATTGTAAATCATAATAAGCTCTATCAAAATTAAAAAAAAATTTTAAAAAAAATCTAAAAAACCCAACCAATCAAAAAAGGAATGTATAAACTCTTTAAATTAAAAACCTTGATTTCCATGCTAGCCCACACAAGTTTACTGTATTAAAATATACTAAAAAGCTACCAAGAGAACGAAGTTTTCACATACATACAATCACTTTAGAGTGCAATAAAGTCAGAGCTAAAATCCTACAGGAAAGAAAATTACACAGATGATGGGGTACCTGCACATGTTGCACAAGAACGGTGGCATGCTTCACATTCTTTGCCATTATGGTATTTTCCTTCTTCACAGCGGATAGCACATTTAGTGCCATGCAAGCTATTGTAAAAAGGAAAAAATGCACAGTGTTTGGGCAGATAACAGCAACAGATGACAACAAGATCATGTACAATCCAGTAGTTCTCTTTTAATCAAAGAACAACCCACATTTTCCGATTCATCACCTTCCTTCATTGGTCATATTTTATAAATTTAGAGACATCAATCACTTCAAGTGGGAATGAAAACCAGTTTTGCCCATGGGGAAATACAGAAGTTGTTTACAAACTCCTTGTAAATACTACCAAGTAACGGGGGACAGACAAAAAATGAACAATGACAAAAACCACTAAAAATTCAGGCATGTAAAATGTAATTATCCATGAGGAATTTGGTAAAGGGTCAGCATCACTGTATTAAAAAAAATGCTAATGCTTCTCTCTCATGCTTCTCTGAAAGATCGCCAGGATCTCCTGATACTATGCTACAGCACAGGTTAAAAACACATTCATAGTGAAAGAAATCACAATCTCTTTCTGCAACAGCAGTTTCCCTTGAAACCTCCTAACTGAATGCCAGTTCTGTGCATCTTGTGAGATTTGTCAAGATTACAGCAGGAGGTATTCTGCCTGCAGGCACTTTTGAGAGAGCACAAAAGTAACAGAAGGAAAAGAAATAGCACAGAGAGTCACACTTTCATGCATTCTTCTAAGGACTATTTATTCCTTTCGTGTTATAAGGTGCCTATTGCAGTTTGTTGGTTTGGGGTTTGTTTTTTAAATTTTATTTATTTTTTAAACTAGGACTTCTCTGCCATGTTTACCATCTTCTGTGGAACTTCAGTGTCCATCCAATTTAACACTTTCTTTAAAAATGCTCTTCAGCTCTGGGGTTTACCACCCTGAGTGCTAACATGTTTTACAGACTGGATCCAGCAAAAGTCAGGTACGCTCAGCACCACCGGAAATTTTCAAGAGTCTATACAGTCCCAGTTTAGAAAGTAAACCATCAATTCAACAGAACTAACAACTCTTGCTTTCCTGTTATTTTTCCTCAGTCATACACCTCAAAGAGCTTTACAAGGCACATAGCATTATCATGTTTTTACAGATGGGAAAACTAATAATTTGCCCAGGTTTATTTAGTGGGCCAGTAATGGAGCAACATTGGAATCCAGGCCTCTCAAGACCCACTCAAAGAAGGTTCTGCCCATTGATAACTCTGCCAAGAAAATGCTGAAAGATCTGAAGAACTACGCAGTACAAAATGCATGTCCTGCAGGGCTCCATTTATCATCCACACAGATCATGTTTTTTAAAAATGTTACCAAAATTTACTCTCAGTTTGCTAATATTGCCCAAGAAAACATGAAGGTTGGGTTCTTTTGATTTTTTTTTTGTATTTCAATTTTAATAAAGGAATCCAGCTATTTATATTCTAGAAGCAAACACTGAGCTTTTACTAAGACATGAAAATCCACTTTACTGGAGGCTAAAACCTCGGTGTTAAAACATTAACACAAGGCTCATATTCTGAAAGAATATCCTATACATACTGAATACTGACTTCATATTTTTTGTGGCACTAAGCCAGCATACATTCTGTCATGAATGTTGCAAGATTTTTGACTTTTGCTGCTTGGATCAAAAGGTCATTCATTCATACAGAAGCTTGAAATATGTACTGCTGTTTTGTAGGTTTTACCTATCATTTTCAAGAATTATTAAGTTCCCCTATGAAGAAAAAAAATCTCCACTACTGTTTAAAATATGTGAACACTATACAGTATAGAATTGAGCCTGAGGTATTTGAGATAAGCGAATGATTGGATATAAGAAGAAATACAATAAAGATAAGAAAATAATTTCTGACTACCACATGAATGAATTAGAAAAATTACTATAATTCATCAGCTCTACCTCTAAAATAACCCTTGACTGACATACTGTAAGTCAAAAAAGTGAAGAAGCCAGCTTTCCACATGACTGTGACTTTTATGTTAACTGAAATGAAAGGCCTTCTAAAAATCAGTTGTTAGCCAAACTGGCACACAAGAAAATATGATATTACAGACTAAACAGCATTGTAACAGTTGACATAAAGGTCATCAAGGTTAAATAGCTATCAGATGTTCTTCCTTGTGTATCCACAGCCTTGTATACCTCTTCTGGTATTATGTTTAGTGACATCCATAATTTACTTACCTTAGGCCATGTCTGCATTCTGTGCAGACTTGAAATTCAACACAGGTCTTACAGTTTTCACTACATTTTCGACAAACAATCTTATCTACAAAAGAAAAAAGCCCAGAAAACCTTGATCAGTTTTGTCTGATAAAACTGTATGAATATATTATTGCATGACTTACTGCCTTCTAATTTGATATCATCAAGCTGGACTAAAATAGCTAAATTCTGCCTAGCATTACCTTTTTCCATCAAACATTGAATGGTTTACTGCATTTCTATACATCTCAATTAACAGCTGCACCCTGAGAAAAATATGTTTTAAGGTCATTATGAAGTTTCCTAAATATTTTAAATTTACATTCACAATTTATAATATGGACTTAAATAATCTTCTTATATAGCAGTGATATGTAGTAATGATATGCCATGTGTTCCAGAGGCTGTCCTGCAGGCAATCTGTCCTCTTCCTGATTTCATGCTAAGAGACACATCTGCATAAACAGATCTCAGCTTAACAAAGTAAATATATGAATTACTTAACACCTACCTTTTAATCTCAAGAGCTCCCTTTAACAAATGTCTCTATCTCTTTGAGATTCAGTGACATGTACCTTTCTGAGAAGAAAAACCTGATTTTCCCATTTAATCCTAAATTTTCATCTATTCATCTTAATTATGTGGAAAGGAATTACCTTTACTGTAGTTCTCACTTAGTGAAAATAGAAAAATTAAGGTAGGACCTGTTTTTACTAATTCTCAAAAATAATCACACAGCTTCATGACAAGAAAGCTAAAGGCTAGGCACCTAGATGAACAAAGCTCCTGAGAACATATTTATCTTCTAAGGAGTCTAAAGATAATTGAAGTCACTGCAGTTTTAAGCACATGTTTAAACGTATGTCTAAGTATTTTTGCTAGCCAAAGCTGGAAATTAAACATGGTCAGTCTCTTGGCAATCACAGGAAGAAGCTGAAGGTAGGTATCAATCATGGCAGAGGATTACTGCTCTTGGGCTGTCACATCACTGGAAGTGTTCATATCTGTCAGAAACACTATTTGCAACCAAGTTTTATTACATCTGAAGAGCCTGTTTTTCTTACAGCTCCAGTTCAGTGGACATGGTTGACTTCTCAGCTCTCACTTCTTGTGCCATATCATTTGAATTTGGGTGAATGGGGAATGCCTCATGGTCAGAATGTGGGTGCTGCCTGTCCACTTCCAGAATAATGATAATCTGTTCTGTCCTTCAGCGGACTTGCTCTTGAACTGCCTCAGTTCTGCTACTGTTACTGCCGGCCACTCCCAGATGAAAAGATATCCATCCTGCCCCTAAGCATGGTTTTTAAAATAATGGAACATTTTTCATGAGATTCTTGATCACACTTGGTAACAATATAATAACAACATAATAAGAAGAACAGAATAAGAGATAGATACATCAACTTTTCCTACTCATAAGTATTCCAGCAACCTCCCCAGATCAAATTCTGTAGCCCACAATATGAAAACAACAAGAAATACTAACTCTTATCCAGGTAAAACCCATCAGGGCAGTTGGTAATACAGCTATTGGTTACTTCATTCAGGTAGTAGCCAGATTTACAGGTCATGCACTGGTCATTATGGCCTCCAACACAGGTTTCACAATTGGGTGAGCATTTTTTACATCGTTTCTTGTCTGCATTGTAGTGACCAGGTGGGCAGGTCGAAACACAGATCCTGCAGACAGCACGGAAGAGAAGGCAGAGTCGTTAATGAAATAACCTGCCACCACATTCCTAGACCATGACTGCAAAGCAGAAGTATTTCTCACCAGTTTTGCTCTTCTAATGATCATGTGTTTACTAGTTGTAACCCTTCAAAGCATTGGGTCAACCTCCTTCTTCCCACATTTAATTCCCTACAGCATATGCTATCTCACTAGCAAATGCCTTGTCAGACAGTCATACAGTATCTTTTTTGACCATCTTTCTTCCTGTCTTTTTCACTTCATCACAGAAGCTGTAGTAGCTATTAGAGTTATATATAAACATATATAGAGAGACAGCCTCTTATGAAAAAAAAAAAGAGGTGGGGAAATAATCAGTGAAGGGTGTTCGAAAGCTGTACTTTGAATTCCGATTAGCTAGGGTTTCTTTAGCTAAGAAAATTTTTCAAATTCAGTGGAAAATGAATTATCCATGACTGCAGCAGGGAAGAGGAATGAAAGTTAGGACATACACTAAGAAATCAATGACATAAAGTGATTTTTCTCTTCGTGTTACCTTGTGTTGTTCTTAGATTTGTAGTAATAGTGAAGACAGTCAGTACAATGATCTGGTCCCGGCCCATCACACCCTACTTTACTACATTCTGCATTGCAGGGACCTGTAATAAAAACAGAATAAAGAGGGACAGGGGGACAAAGTACTCATTTAATACTTCTCAAACTTTAAAATGTGGTATTTTATTGCAGAAATTCAACTACTCTGTTTCCCTGTGTTGAGGAATACATTCAGTACAGGTAGCTTGGTTTGTAAACTGCAGTGCAAGCTGCAGATTGAACTCTGGGTGGCAGGGAGCCTGGGCAAGAGCTGCGAACTGCTGAGCCTCGGCAAAACAGAGAGCATGGGGACCTGTGGTGCTGGACAGGTGACCAGACACTGAGAGACACAGCAAGCGCCAAGGAACCCGAGCCCTCGAGACTTTCTTGTGGGCTTAAACTGTAAGACTATAAAAGCCCAGAGTTTCCTTTGTTAGGGGTCCTCCCTCCTCAAAGGCACCCAGCTTGAGCTGTTATTTAGTTATTGCACCAAGATTGAAGTATTTTAAGGATCAGGAAGTCTAAAACTCTGCTGTGGGAAACCTAGGGTCGAGCCAGCATGGAAATCTGGTCTGAGTGTGTGAGAGTGGTGTGTTCATCTGTGAAGGGACCTTGGCCCTGGCTCAGGTGGTGCGAGTGTGACTGCCAGGGTGACTCCTGGAGGGTCAGACAGGAAAGCTTCTGAAACACCTGTTTGATTTGAATTCCAAACAGCAATTTAGTTCCATCAAAAAAAAAAGAAAAAAAGAAAAAAAAGAAAAGAAAAGAAAGTCTTCTTAGTACCTAAAGACCATGCAATCCCGGTCTTAGTATTTATTCACAGTGATTTATAATTTTTAGCAGGTGGGGCATCCTCTATAGAATTTATCAAAGAGAAACTATTTCTGGATCTGAACTGACGCTTTCTCAAGGGGTAACAAATAATTCTGCATTTTATTTGAAATACGCAAAGGCTTCTGTAAATCATAATTAGGAATGGTTAGCAAAATCACTTATAAAAAGCAGGTCAGCATAAATTATGGATATAATGATCAGTGGCTACTCAGGTTACCAACTGGGTAACAACTGGTCCAAGACCCAATGAACCAGATACCAAGGGTCCCAGTGCTCTGTTTGCTACACTCTGCAAAAGCCTCAGACAGTACTTGCTGATTAGCAAGGCTTCCATCTCACCCACACTCATGTTGGACTTGGTGATCCTTATGGAGTCATTCCAACTTGAGATATTCTATGATTCTGTGCTTACAGTTTTCAAACAGATCCTTCCTTTTATGGGAGGAGAGAACCATCAAGTCCTGTCTTTATGCAGAAGAACAATGCCTGTGAGTGAAGTTATAACTTTCAGGATCACTGCTTTCTCTTGAATGAAATGAATTTGTCAGCCACCTTCAAATTTCTTCTAGCAGCTAAACTTGAAGTAAAGTGAGTTTGCTTCACATAAAAACTTAAGAAGTTAGTGACCTTTACAGCAGAGACAGTAGTGTTTCATCACCTATTAAAACAAGGACTACTGCAGCTCTCCATCTAAAATAGAGACGGTGGAACTGGTATGCTGTGGAAGGAGAATGTAAATGGTGCTCCTAATGGTGGATTACATGTGGGAAACTGCCAACTTGACTTATTTTGCAATGCCAAAAATCTAACACTATTAAGGCTGAAACAACTCTATAGGGATCAGTGGGAAACAACACAGATGTAGAAGTTAATGTTCTTCATATATATATACACACACACATACATGTATATATGCATATATATGCATGTGCATATATATATACACATATATATGCACATATATGTGTAAATATGTATATATATATATACACATATACACACATATATGTGCATACGTATGTATATATAGCTTACTCATAAACATAAAATGAAAATATCTAACTTTAAACTGTGAAACAAATACTTCTTGTCTTCAATGAAGAATCCAATTCACTGAACATTTTACATATGCAGACTCTGAGGTCAACCTATTTAGTGTTCAGTAAATGCTTGATCAGAGTCAATGAATGTACACACCTGAATAGTCGTCTGTTGCATAATCTTCTGTAGGGTCTTCAACTGGACTAGAGCGCACTCTTTCCACTTTCGGAAAATCATTTCTTGGTGAGTAAGGCTGGATGGATGTTCCATACAGTACTAAGGACCACTCTTTCAATTTGCCTGGAAGTTAAGTATTTTAAAATCTAGTTTCAGAACTGCATCTTACAGAAACATATCACTTTCAAGCATGATATTGTGAGTAGGTACAGATGACATTGCTCTTCAAATAAGTGTCTTCAGTGCAATACTTGTTTCACTATAAACTGAGAAAGCATATTTTCTTCAATCAGATCTTTACACCATATTTTCATTGCATGCATCTGGATTTCACTTTCTCCTCAGAGCATTATTAATTGTGAAGCAATTATTTATTATTTGAGATCTTTTAGCTAAGTAGCTGTACTCAGAATTGTGACTTAAGAAAGGGGTTACATAAGAGTACTTTTCACTGACTTATAGGACACAACTTGATAAACAGGAAGTAGCTTTTTTTAAAATCTCCAGGGAAAAACATCAGTGTCCCCACAAACCAGCATAATTTCTTATTTATTTGCCCCAGTTATTTGGCAGATATATCACTGTATTGTCTGTGATCATCACTAACATTTTATCCTCTTAATACTTGAGTGAAGAAAAAAAAATTGTTTGGCTGCCCAAAGTATTATCTGGCTTTTTGATAAGTTTTTTTGGGGGGAAGAATAAAAAGGTAAAAGTGTATCAAGACATCAATTCAGGCAGTCAGAACACAAAGGGCAGACTTCCCATTCCCACCTTTCTGTCTATATTACTTGGTGAATTTCAAGAAAGAGCAAAAAGACTCAGGCCTGAAATAATTCCTAAAGTAATGATGCATAAACCCCATATTCTGGCTTGAAAACTGGAACATAAGTTTGGTATAATTCTATTCTCTTGTTCGTATTTATCTGTGTTGAGATAGCTAGTTGTGAATATCAAATTCTCATCAGAACAGAAAGAAATCAGAGAAGCAATGAGTATTTATTTTTGAATTTGAAAGATCCTGCTTTGGAGGCTGTTCTGTGGTTAAAACGCTCTCCTCTTAGAACTATCATTTAATGAGAAATGTAATCCAGATATCACTCTTCTAAAAAAAATAATTTAGTATACCTCATGTAAAATTAAATTCAATTAAAATTTATTTTAATGATCCTCAATAATTTGAAATATTATTCACTTGGACCTTTTCAATCTGAGCAACCAAATTAATTTGAATCACTTTGCACGTGATTTTCTCTATTTTCCCCAATGTTGTCTGGTAATCTCCATTGGCATGACAAAGACAATATGCATCTCTCTGATTTTACATGCATCCTTCAAGCAGTAAGTAACAATAAGTAAGTCCGCTACCTGACAGATCACAGACCAATTGTTTTAAATAGTTTATACTAGGGCTAAAGAGAGAAATCTGTTATCTCCATATCTTTTGCCAACCCAATTTAATCTTTCTAAATGACAGAAATTTCTAAACATCATATAAAATCTTCTCTGCTCTATATTCAGTTATTGAGAAGAAACTAACAGATCAGAGACTACATCACACAGCAGTTGTGTCACACAGTAGCTTCCAGCTTTTCAGAGCTGAATCAAAATATTACTTTCTTTAGAGAGACATTTAATTAAATAAATCAACTGCTGTGATGAGTCTACCACACCTGTGGTCAAACTACTGGCTAATTATTTTGGCTGTAAAAACTGCATGAACCTCATTTTCAAATTGTTTTTTCCTATCCACATACACATAGGTCTTAAAGTCTCATTAGATTAAAAAGACCCAAATCACGTATTTTCTTCCTGTACAGACATGTGGGAATCAAGTTCCATCTTGAAGTCCTTTAGAGAGATCCAGCTGGGTCCTTAACGGCACTTTTCGTTTTAGAAAAGAAGTCACATACTTTTTAACTGTGTACGCAGTCATCTCTACAGCCTTTTCAAAGACAGAGCTTCTCCACGTCCAGTCTCTGTCCTTTTTGTCTTTTAACCCACATCTATAGCATGTAAACCATAACATACTGGGTGCAATCAAAAAATGTGTGTTTTGCTACGTTATTCAGATCTTTTCATCCTTGTCTTGATTATGAGCCAAAGCTCACCTAACTTCCCAAGGGTTGTTTTTATACTGCTTCCAGAACACTGGTCAAAATATTTGCAAGAACCCACTAAAAATAACCACAGATGCTCCAAAGTGTACTGTGTCTGGACTTTACGCATATGGAAGGTCTTGTACTAATATTACTGCAGGAAGGATTGTCACTTTGAATGTATATGTAATGCAAAAAAGGCAGTAAGGGGAATAATGTAGGGTCTCTCAGGAGGTTAGCTGTCTTTGTTCAGTAAATAAAGAGGGGAAAAATTCATGTGACTTGCCAGCAAAGAAATGAATCTGCCTCAAGGTTGGTTTAATTTGCACAATGCAATTATTTCAATAACTAAGTACATCTACAGACACGCACACTTTTATAATGAATAAATGAAGTATGCACATTTAGACCAAAATCTTTCTTTCCCCATTTTTGGCTGATTCCATCATTTAGTTTGGCTAGAATAATCCTTTACTCTGCTTGTATTTAGTATGCGTAACAAAGGTCTCATATTGTATCTAGAGGAGAAAGGGCATATCACAATCTTTCACAGTAAACACATGTCCATCTCCATAAACTCTACAAAATTAAATGCAGAAATCTCATGCACTACTTTTATGAACTGCACTCTGCATTTCTTGACAGGCAACAGATGTGGCATTACTTTGCCAGTGCAGGGATATGATGACACATTGACTCTTTGTTCTCAGTTTGATTACATGAAAATGGCAACTCCTAATTATAAGACCTTTCAATAGCTAAATAAACACATGCAGAGAACACAAACAAGAAAGAAGTATGATGGAGATATCAAGTGTGATACACTGGCGAGGCATCATAAATTGTGTTTAAGCACCTTTTATTTACTTCATATTCTGTTCAGTGTGGAGACTAATCCCAAAATGCCCAAACAGCTGAGTTTATCCACCACTAATATATGACAGGCACTTCCAAATCTTTTTGAACAAAAGAGTTACTAGACAGCTTCCAGCAGAAGGCAAACACTGCTCTGGAAAGATGGGGGATGTATTACTAGACAGTATATAATGAATTAGGAGGCAAATTCACAACCACACTGTATCTTATGAAATCCAAATGCACATAAAAACCTAAATAGTTTCACAAGCAGCGTTTTACATTGTGGTTAAAAGAAAGTAGAGAGTAAGCTCTCCAGCAGGATTCCTTTAGATTAGCTTCCTCCACACACCCTAGTTGGGCAGGTCTACTTTCTCCAAATCCCCTGGCCTTATTGTGTCTTTTCTTCACGGTTTGCATGTTTAGGCTTTAGTTCTTACAGAGCAAAAGAAATCAGTTCCATGAGATTAGCCACTGCAGCATTGAGAAGAATATATGTAAAGTATTGAAACCAATAAATTGGTAAGACCTATACAACTACATATGTAAACCAGGAGTGTGCAGGAACAGGCTTTGAAGTGTAAAGCTGGAAATGTAGCTGGCCACTTTGAGACTGTCCTGGTGATGTAAAAAGGCTGCAAAATACGTCTGGAGAATAGCCCACATGAAAAATTTGCAAAATAGGTCCATGCTACCTCTTTTTTAGTGAAGGGTGTGTGCCAGGAAAGAGAAAACAAGGGAAGAGCTGAAATGCATTGCTCTGTGGTTTTTCTTCATGCCTGTTGGATGAACTATTGGCTTCTGGTACACATAAAGGTGAAGAGCTATCCTAACTTGTCCTTCACACCAGAGATGTTCCTGCATGTGTCAGGAATAAAAAGTACAAGATGGAGTTGAAAAACATTAATTTTTGTCTCTTTTTAGTAATCTGATTAAAATTAAACTACTTAGTTGTTGCTTAATGGTTCTCCTCTATCAAATTCTAAAGCACTGAAAATTTAAAAAACCCTCAAACATCACACCTCCTCGTGAAGCCCCAAGCAGTTCTGCTTATAGTCTATGGTTGCTTTTCTAAATGAATACCCCTTTCTAGTGTACTGGAAACTTTGCTTCTCCTTTAGTGGTGCAATTAACATCACTTGGTTAAGAACCTTTCACCACTGTAAGGCTATTGTGAGAAGTGATCAGTGGTGATAAAGTGAAATTCAAAATACTGGCAATGCTAGCATTTCCTTCCAGAGCTCTAGGGGATGATAATCAGAATTTTCAAAAGGCTGTGCTTAAAGTTAACCACATGACTATACAGATAACATTTAAATAACACTGGCCATAGTGTAAATAGTTACCACAGACCAAAAGTTGTTTGCCTCTCAGCAATTTTGAAAATCATACATTATCTTGGTCTTCATTAGGGACTTATTAGCCTCATATTATGCAAAAGCGTTCCAAAATTTTTGGCTTATGACTGCTGGTCTACTGTCCTAAAAAAACTAAAATCGGGTTATGTAGACAACTGAGTCAGGCAATAAGAGAAGATGATTTAACAGACAGACAGAAAACTTCCCTAAAAAGTTGAGATTGGCTATCAGAACATGACAGAGCTAAAGCAGAGTAGAAATAAAGAACTAAAATTCTCATTCAATTTAAACAACAGCAGTTGAGTGAGACTGATTTGTGTGCTAAGATTTTTTTAAGACAGAAAATCATCTAAGCAGCATAAAATCTGCACTTTCATTTTGTCATAATTTTGAATTGAGTAGGTTCATTTTTGTCCAAAGTAAAACATATAAAGCCAATTGAATTTGGCCTACACACTAACTGGAACAGGAAGGAGACTGGACAACTCTGTGATCATACATTAGAATTCCTCCTGAGCCCTGGTTTGTTCTAAGTCATGATGGAAATAGTCCCACTGAGTCTCTAAGCTGCAGGAGTGACTGGACACCCTGACCTCCCAGAATGGCACATTTACCTTGAACAGGTGAACTACACAAAGGCTTATTTCCAATCTGATTAATTTAACAAGCCAAATTTCAATAAAGAGGAAGACAAAGTACTTCATCCCTATATCTGGTGACAGAAACATTAATGGGCCTTTTTCAGTCAAAGTAGAATTGAAACACTTAACATTCTTCTAGAATAGTCAACTACATGCACATAGCCTATCATGCTAGACTTTCTGATTTTAAACTCAAAGCCTATAAGCCCTTCAGTTCACATTTTAGTCAATGTTTATGTATGCTTTTTAGTGTAGTAGAAACAACAGAAGTACTCATACTTACCAAGGCTCATTTGAATAATTTTAATGACTTCCAATAACCTACCAACTTAAGAACAAACATACTTCAATATCCTCTATTAATGAGTTCACAGAGATTTATTTTTATAGCTTCCAATACTTCCACTTAACATCTATGTCTCTAGAATTCAGAATCTATTTTTAGGAAATCAGAAAACTTACTGCTTTGTGAGTTTATTTAGCTGCCTGAGAAGGAATGCCTCCTTTATTTCACTGAATTATTGTCCTGGTTTCAGCTGAGATAGAGTTAATTTATTTCCTAGAAGCCGGTACAGTGCTGTGTTCTGGATTTAGAAGGAGAACAGCACTGATAACGTGCTGATGTTTTAGTTGTTGCTAACTAGTGCTGACTTTAAGCCAAGGACTTTACAGTTTCCCATGATCTGCCAGCAAGCAGGTGCACAAGAAGCTGGGAGGAAGCATGGCCACAACAGATAAAACAAACTAGCCAAAGGGATATTCCATAACATAGAATATCATGTCCAGTACGTTAACTGGGGGGAGATAGCTGGGAGCTGATGATGGGAGTCAGGGTCTGGCATCTGTCAGCGGGTGGCAAACAACTGTATTATGCATCACGTGTTTTTCTTGTGTTTTATTCCCCTCTCTCTTTTTTTATCTCCATTTTCATTACTATGATTATCATTAGTAGTATTATTATCACTATGATTGTATTTTACTTTATTTCCATTATTAAACTGTTCTTATTTCAATCCACAGGTTTTACCTTTTTCTGATTCTCCTTCCCATCCCACTGGATGGGGGGTGGTAAGCGAGCAGCTGCATAGTACTTATTTGTCAGCTGGGGTTAAACTACAACAATTATAAACTAAGTTTATTGGTAACGTCATTGTAATCCTAAATATATTTCACAGCACAATTCTTATAATTAGTTTTTATTTATCAGGAAGCAGTAATCAACTAGATTTGCCACTTTCAGTGTTATGACATTCTGACATGAAATCCAATCAGAGTGTTAACTTAGATTTAGTGATAAATGATTTCCAATAAATCAGTAGTATTCATCTCTTTAAACTGTTTTAATCTTGCTTAAATGACATTTCACCTTTGAATATTTTTATTAAAGGGTTTCTACCTACTTTGATGTAGGATTCCAAAGGAGGGACTATATTCACTATTCATACATAAACAGTGGCATTTTTGCCTGTGTATAATGTACCTATTTCAAAATAGTTTTTAAAGTTTGAATTTTCAGTAAATCCAAATGTTTATCACTCATAACCTTATCTCTCATAATCCCTTATATAGCAAATATAAGTAAGCACGTACTCCCCTGAGCCTCTTTAAATCTCTTCTCTCAGTCTCCGTTTCTTTCAAAGAGCTCATACTGAAATATGTGAATGAAACTGAACCGTGCAGTGGGAATTAAAAGAAGAAAAAGTGCCTGCAGCCCCAAAAATTCTTCTAGGAGCATGGTTCATGAACGGATAAATGCTAGGCTTGAGCACTCTGTCCATACACACAGGAGCACCATGCAACCTACCAGTGATAAGGAGCTGTGAATTTCTTTCTCTTGTAAAGTGAGATTTTTTAGTTATGTAAAAAATTATAAATGCCACTTTTTCTTATGGGCAGGTTAATAAATACAAGGCTAAGAAAACCAACATGAAAATAAATCCCTGGGCCTTATACAGTCGATATAGGCCAAGTAAATACAGTCATGAAAGTCACAGGCAAAACTCTTACAGCAAGTAACTCTGGGCTGCTCTAACTTGTGTTGAAGATCTGTCTGATAAATCTATATTCAACATCCAAGAACACAGATGGAGATACCATAATTTCATTCAAATTTGGCACATGAGGTTTTGGGCAGTTTTGTATCTTTTTCCTTGAAAGCTGTGACTAGTAAAGATTTGGATTTCTTTAAAGCACTGACTCTTGGTAACCTCTCAGATGGCACAGGGATCGGTCAGCTACAGAGTATGATGTAGCTCTAAATGGCCAACATCTCTTTCTATTTTTTGATGCAACACATGCAACTGCAAGAAAGAGGGAATTTTACTCTATCCTCATGAAATTTTCCTGGAAACCAGGAATAAGTTCAGAATAAAAGTGAACCATGTGTCTTAAATGGCAAATAACAGTGACATAAAAATGAAGAGTGCATTGATAACTGAAATTAAGAATAATGCTCTTACCAACTCTGCCTTCGCACTAAAGCCAATGAGATGTTTCAGCTGTAAATAAAAGGTGGAAAACAGCAAGCATTCTTCAGAATTCACAGAACCCAAATAAAGGTTACAGTCATACCTGGAGTCTTGAAATTTCTCAGCTGAGATGGAGTGTCACAGATTTCCAAGATCCAGTCACCTGCTGCTTTTTCACTCCAGCAGTGAGTAGTCATAAACTCCCAGTTTTTGAATCCTTCCATGGAATGATCAAATAGCCTAAAACAAATCAGGACATTATTTCAAGGAAACTTCTTTTCTGCAGAGCTATGCCTCCAAGGACGCATACTCTTGAAGAGTATCCTAATCACCCAGTTCATTCATCTGTGCCTTTACATTATTCAGGATGGCTTTCTCACATGTATTGCAAGTAGATTCAAGAGTAGAAGGTAGAAAGAGTGGAAGAGAATCTTTACATGACATCGTTTTTTGTAACGTAAAAGAGAATTCATTGCAAAAAATCATAATTGCTAATACTATTTAATATAAGGATTCATGGGTCTCGGGAAAACTGCATATTTCCATCGTATTAACAGCATACTGTAAACACAAACAACTTAGAAGTCGGAAAATTTCAGTAACATTTATTTTTGCCTTTGGATTGGAATACTTAAAAGGGGTTTAAAACCAATAAAAACTATTAAGTGACTGAGACAACAGAGACTCAATATATGCCACTTCTTGTAAGGAAGTGAAATATAACTGAGACACTGGCCTCAATCCTCAAATGACCAAGGTATCACCCTCTTCAAACACTTGACAGAACTGAGTTTGGGTAAAAGTGAGAGACTAATGGCATCTGATGTTTTCATCTAATAAAAAACAATACCATAATTTAATTACCTAGATCTTGGGTGAAGAGGTCAGAACCCTGATACTAGAAATAACATAATCCAGGCCTAAGTTCTATTTCAGACACTGCAATGTGATGCTGATCCCATATGAGAAGGGAAAGGAGGACCCTTCCTGGTCAGAGATTAGACACAAGAGAATTTGCACTTTTATTCAGTGTTCACAGAACGTCGCTTGGTACCCCAAAACCACTGGAGAAGTGCAACCACTGGAGAAGAGACCAACCCCTGCCTGGCTATAACCTCCCTTCAGGTAGTTGAAGAGAGTGATGAGGTCGCCTCTAAGCCTTCTCTTCTCCAGACTAAACAACCCCAGCTCCCTCAGCCGCTCCTCATAGGACTTGTGCTCAAGTCCCTTCACCAGCCTCGTTGCTCTTTTCTGGACCCGCTCCAGCACCTCAATGTCCTTCCTGAACTGAGGGGCCCAGAGCTGAACACAATACTCAAGGTGTGGCCTCACCAATGCAGAGTACAGGGGAAGGATCACTTCCCTGCTCCTGCTGGCCACACTGTTCCTGATGCAGGCCAGGATGCCATTGGCCTTCTTGGCTACCTGAGCACACTGCTGGCTCATGTTCAGCCTCCTGTCGATCAGCACCCCGAAGTCCCTTTCTGCCTGGCTGCTCTCCAGCCACTCTGTCCCCAGCCTGTAGCGCTGCAGGGGGTTGTTGTGGCCAAAGTGCAGGACCCGGCACTTGGCCTTGTTGAACTTCATTTCATTGGAGTTTGCCCATCTCTCCAGTCTATCCAGATCCCTCTGCAGAGCCCTCCTGCCTTCCGGCAGGTCGACACTCCCTCCCAACTTGGTGTCATCTGCAAATTTGCTGATGATGGACTCAATCCCCTCATCTAAATCATCTATAAAGATGTTAAAAAGGACTGGGCCCAGCACTGACCCCTGGGGGACACCACTGGTGACCGGCTGCCAACTGGATGCAGCTCCGTTCACCAGCACTCTCTGGGCCCGGCCCTCGAGCCAGTTCCTGACCCAGCACAGAGTGCCCCTGTCCAAGCCGTGGGCTGCCAGCTTTTCCAGGAGTATGCTATGGGAGACAGTGTCAAAGGCTTTGCTGAAGTCCAGATAGACCACATCCACAGCCTTTCCCTCATCCACTAGGTGGGTCACCTGATCGTAAAAGGAGATCAGGTTGGTCAAACAGGATCTGCCCCTCCTAAACCCATGTTGGCTGGGTCTGATTCCTTGTCCATCCTGTAGCTGCTGTGTGATTTCACACAGGATAATCTGTTCCATAACTCTGCCAGGCACCGAGGTCAGGCTGACAGGCCTGTAGTTACCCGGGTCAGCCTTGCAGCCTTTTTTATGGATTGGGGTGATATTTGCCAACTTCCAGTCGTATGGGACCTCCCCAGTGAGCCAGGATTGTTGGAAGAAATGAATTAAATGATCAGATGTTCAGGTGTACTTTCCTTATCCAGAAAAAATACATATGGAATAGGATCTTTTAAGGAGCATGGGACCAGTCGAGATGGTAACTTTGTTATTTGTCAGGTTGATGCTGTAAGGTAAACATATGCAGGTATTCTTCACAAGAATGCCAAGGCAGTGGAAGGATTGAAAAGAAGGTTTATTTCAGATGCAAGGACCACTTTTTTTACAATGCGGCCCATTGGGCCTTCAGGGGCAAAAGATGAGTTCCTGCCCCCTCAGGACCCCTTTTATCCTCTCTGTTTCTCCCCTGCCTTCCCAAGACCTCTGTGCATGTCTGTTAGGGCATGTCTCCTCTCACATGTCAGGGAGAGAGGCTGACAACTTCTCTTTCTATGTGAAGGGAGAAAGCACTGAAACTGCCTTTGAGAAGGAGTTACCATCTAGGTAGAAAGCCTTCCTAGAGAAAACTGAATTCCTAACTTTCCGTTATAAATTCTTCCGAAATTGTACATGTCCCAACAGACGCCAAGTCAAAATTCATATCAAGGACATACTTATCAAACAGATTATCATGGATTAGTAAATGATTAGTATGCGGTCTAATGAATTGTTAATTGACTGTTACAGATTATTATAGATTAACTAGTTAAATAATATTATTAGAATAATCTGATAGTTTTTATGACCATGATCATCTGCAAAACCTGTACTCATGCACAAACCATGCCTTTAAAGACCAAAGTGATTAACAGCATTTGAATTTTGAAAACTTATTTGTTAACATAACCACAACAAAATGCCAGTTCTGTTATTCAATTACTCAAGGGATCTTTCTCAGTAACAGAACACTCAAGTGAGGGTGGATGTGACTGCACAATTGACTATATTCAGATAAACTAATTATAGGCTGTTAGTTACAATGAATAGCGTTGCATTTTAAAAAAAACACTCTTCTCTCTCTGAGAAGTTTTATGCCATACTCATCACATGTCATATGTAGGTCTATATAATAATGTATGTTGCACAGTACAGAATAAAACCAAATTGAAGAAGCTTCTATTGTCACCACTTCAGCCTAAAAATTGCATAACCATTAAGAATATAATTTAAAGCACAAAATTAATCTGTGATCAAATTTTAGACCCAGAGGAAGTCAATCACCCACCTTCTTGCAATTTCACAAGTGCACAAGTGGGAACATAAGGCTACCCTCTAGTGTTAAAAAAACCAACAAACAAGTGTGTCAGCTTTTTAGCAACAAATCTCTAAATTCCAGATGCTCAGAAGAATTTGTTTTAATTTTTAATTTCATGTTAGAAAATGCAGTGAAGGTACACACATAAAAGGAGCTTTTGCTTTATTATGAAGATAATTTTTTTCACCTGTGAAGGTGCAGCTGCACCAGACTGACAGCCATGCTTGTATACTCAGCTCACAGCTAGGAGGCCCTGCACTGACTGGTGGCTCAGTGGAGTAGCTGGCAAGAGACAGGTATTCTCTTCTCTGTAGCAGTGGTCTTTGTTATGATGTACTCCAGCCCACTAAATCAGCAGCCTGACAGGCAAGCGGTGCCTGGCCACCAGCCTGCTTGGCCACAACACTTCTAGTGTGCTTACAGTTTGGAGAGACTATGAGAATGCCTTCCCAAGGTGCATACCTGAAAATGCTCTGGTCAACCATTCTCCTTAAAGCACCTCTTCTCCATAGGGACAAATCACTAGTTACCTGTGAGATACAGCCCCTGATAAACTGAAGACAGCTCAAATTGACTTAACAGAAGTTAAAGCTTCAGACAGACCCTACTGTCCACCTGAAGTATTTGGAAAAAAACCCAAACATCAGAAAACACTAGGCATCCTAAAAGCTTTCTCACCTACATGTGGAAGATCACTTAAAACTTCTGGATGTGGATTTAAAGATGATGTATTTAAAATATAAGCATACACACTTTTTTTTTTTTTAAATTTCCATTTTACATCTGGCTGTCACAGTTAATTTTATGAAGCACTGGAGATATGAAGCAATGGAGATCTCTGAGCTATCATGATAAAGTAGTTTGGAGAATAGTAACGTGAACACTAGGCTACAATGCCTGCCAGCCTGAAGTAGTGGACAGTACAGCAACCACCATCTTTAAATGTTGAGTGTTTATCCCCTGGCACTGCACATATCCGCATTAAATGATCCATCATTATATTTGGATATGTCAGGCTGAGGAGCCCCACATATCCCACTGGTCAGCCAGCTCCTTGGTACTGGGATATCTGTTCATCAACACCACCCACACACCAAAAAGAAAAAAAAAATAAAAAAAAATAAAAGTCAACGTGAATGAAATGAAACATAGCAAGTATGAGTTGGGAGAAATAGTTTTCCAAGAACTGATTCAGCCTGTAGACACCGTACAAGCATAGGCTTATTGTTTGGTCATTGTGGACTTAATGATACCTCTTCAGAGAGGGGCACTCAGCATGAAGGTTGGCCCTATACTTTTCATCAGATTTGGATACATAAAATGTAATGTTGGTTTTGTTTAATATTAGAGTATTGCAATAAAGATGTGCACCTATAAAGAAAGGTTTCTTCTACTTTTGATTGCCAAGACTTTTTATGAAGCAACCTAGTGAGTAAGATTAGATAAGAATACCTTGTTTTTGGCCTAAGAGTTTCCTGTAGAGGAGGGTATTATTAAAATTTACTGATTGTCTAAGGTTTCACGATAGGCAAAAATGGTAATGAAAATACTTCCCTTTGTAAGTGAACAGAAGTATTATTAATGTCAGGGCCATATAAGCATAGGAAGCTAGTGGCCTGGAAAGTTGCCACCACGTGGCTGAGATATTTCAGTTATGCAGTTCAAGTGGCAACAGCTGCTTTAAATTTAAAGGCAAGAATTAAATAAGCCATGACCTCAGTGGGAGACAAATGACCCCTAAGTTTGCTTCTTCTATCCCCTTTGTGTTTAGCCTCCCCTCCATAGCCTCCCTGTACTGAATGTTTGTTAGATCTGAGCTCGGTATGTCTCAAAAAACACTCAGAAACCCATGATGCCAAATCCAATGGCCAACTGTTTTCAAAAAGGGGATACTGTTCCCCATTGGTCTTAACTGTAGCCTCATCCTCACACCAGCCAGCACTTTCCTAGCCTTTATTTTCCTCTGTTGCAGTACATCCAACGTAATCATGTTTAGTACTTTCGAAACAACAAAGCAGATGTTCCTTGTAATGTAGTTTTTGAAGAATGCACATAAAGCTCAAGCCAGTGACAGTGTAATCCACCAAATGACTGCAAAGGAATCCATATTGACTCTGACTAACAAATTTTCTTACTGAAGTCATTTTAGGGGATGCCAACATTAGGGATAAAATATGCAGAAAAAAGGCCAGATACTGCCTTGAGGGACCTACTTGTCAATGCACCAGAATCTACACACAATGACTTTTCATCCAGAATTGGGGGAGAAGAAGTGCCTATGTAAAATATACCTTTTGGACTTAAAGACATTTTACCAGCAAACTGTTTCAAATTAAACCCAGATGATTAACAGTAAAGCAATGAGGTTTTCCCTGGGTTCAGTAAAAACAGCTGGTATTGCTGTTATTAATCATGTAATGTGTGCATTAAAAAGTCTTGTACATCTGAGAAAGCATCTAAGTCAGGTAGCAGCAATGTACAAGAGCATCTGTGACCTTTGCCTATTGAAAAAAAGCCAGACTGCTTGCTGCCAATATATCTCCATGCACGCTTATACTTGAATGCATTTATTCTGATTTTTAACACTTTAAGAATCAAGCACCTCATAACTAATTTTTCATATTAGTGAACAACAACATTCCTACTTCAAGTTTGATTCTATAAAATGATGCTAAAACATACACTCAACAACATTCAGGATACTACTGATTTCCAGACCTTTAAGCCGTATGACTTCTTACAGCCAGACCAAATAAAATAAGCCTTTTTGAAATACCATATTGAAAAGTAATGTATTCATATCCATTCCTTTACGCTAAGAAAGGGCTTGTGAAGGCTCTAGGTATTTCAGACCTAGAATGTGCAATATACATTTATCCCTAATATTAGTAGCCCAGAGTTGTTTGTTTCAGTAAAATGTGATGACTAGTCAGTATATCTCCGAAGTTCCCATAGGAAGGGAATTTCTGGTGTGACTTTACGAGCTCTGTCATGAATAATTTGGTTCTTGAGAAGTGCCAAAACATGAAAAGGCCTTTCAGGCTTCTTTGTTTTCTGGCCAGTCTTGTGATACTGTAGTATAAAAAAACCAGATGAACTTCCCCTTATTTTAATACATATACTTACATTCTCTCTCTCTGTGACAGGTATGAAAAGTAATTACTTTCTATGTAGCAGGGGTTACAGAGAAACTGACTGAATCAAATTTTGTACCTATTCCACATAACAGTCATCACCAGAGGTGAACTGCGACTACTGGAATGTTTATCCCACTTGCTGTGGGTCAGCTGCAACACACGAAAGCCTAGAGCCAAAAGTTAGCTGTGTTAAGACAACTGGGTTTACACAAGATTGTTTCATTTGGATACCTAATTGGAGGACTCTTGATTTTTTTCACTTTGGACCAAGGAAGGACTGCTGCATGAAAATTGAAAAGAAAACTAAAAAAGGATTTCTTCAAACAGAAAAACAAAAGTCTGTTTCATAACTAACAAGAGAAGCCTGCCTCCGCACTGGTTAGCAGAGAACAAATTCTTTGTTCAGCGTAGTAGAGTAGCAGGGAAATACATAGATGTGTGTGCCCATGTGCTTTTATCAGCAAGGCTCTGACGGCACAGGAGATATTCTAGAGGACCCCAAAATTCCAAGACAACTTTCTGTCCATTTGATGAATTAATGTCTATAGCTTGAAGAGTATTTTCAGTACACCTTTTCTTTTATATTAACACAATCTCTAATGAAAATGGACATTCACACTTCAATCAGAACCAAGTCCATCTGACTGTCTCCAAACAAGTCCTTTTTTTTCAAGAGGAAGGATAAGTCCTTCTACCACTGAGGTACAGGAGGACACACAAGTCTCCAGAGCTAGATAGTCAGCATTTCTAGGTGTGGAAGCGTGGATGAAGAGCAGTCTGGAATGCAGGCCATTCCCACTTCATTAGAAGTCCTGGAGAGTAGGACTAGGGATATAAACTTTTTAGAAGACTTAAGCATGATGGCAGAAGAGTTCTTACAACACAAGTTTGATATTTGGCAGGTTTTGCAGTTTCTGAGACATATAACATCACTAATAATAATGGCCAGTCTTCGTGAACGAAGATTTGGGGAAAGGTCTTTTTACCTTTCCAGCCTGCGCAATGGATTTTTTAGGTGAGACACAGCCTGCGCTGAACTGAGCCCACCCTTTAATCCTAAGGTTCATCTGCCGGGGCCAAGCAAGCTTGGACAGTGGCAGTGAGGTCCTCAGGACGTAGGTTTGTTTAGAGTGTCCTTCTCATAGATGGATGGCCTCACAGGGCTAACGAGCTACCATCTGCCCGGGGGACTTGGGATTCGAACCCGTGGTTGCAGCAGTGAGAGTCCTGCATGCTAACCACTAGGCCACCAGGGGTCCCTATAACATCACTAACATCAACTTTTATGTGGGAGCCGATCTTTGTGTCTAACAGAATGGCAGTCATCTAAATCTGCTAGTCACTAAGGAAAAAAAGATTCCCTATCATACTACGCTCCCATTGGGAAGAATATTTCTAGCCACATGGAGAAGTATAGAAGCATTTCTTAGTGCAAATATAACTTATTTGCACATTTGGAAATGGGGTAAAGTGTGAGAAGGTTTCTGATGTGTCTTAATGCCTTAATCATCTGTGGTAGGAGGTGGTGGTGTTGATCACGGATTTAGCGAGATTTACCTGCAAAGTCTGTCAATGTTTTCTTCCAAGAAAATGTCAGTGTTGTCCTATTATGAGCTTTTCATGGGTTGAGTATATTTACTTTGAAAAACAGGATATAGAAATTGGTAACACCAGGAACTTAAAGAAAATAGCAGTAAAGAACCACTATTCTATCTGATTTTTATTTCCAGGAAAAAAAAAATGGAAAAGAAAGCAGCAAAATGAAAAAAAAATGGCTATAGTATATAAAACACTTCCATTCAGCTTCCTTATGAACACTGAGCCTGTTACTATTTTCTTCACATTTCCAGCTATCTAACAACTTGTGGACCACAAAAGACTATCAAAATTAACTAGTCTTTAGTTTGGAGATTATATCCTTCAGCAGTTTTACAGACTACTCTTCCACTGAGATCATAATTTTTGAGTTCATTTGTACTTCACTCTGCCCATCTCTCTCAGAAAAAATAATTAGCCTGTGTCTGCCAGCAATCTTGCTGTAATGACTTGTCTATTCTTTGCTGGCATGGACATCTCAACGCAGGCTCTGCATGCTGACTGTACTGTGAAGCTGTGTTGTCATACTATACCTGTTGGCCAAGAGCTGTGACCTAGTTCCAGATGGAGAGGTTAGGTAAATTGCCAAGTCTCCACGCCGAGGGTGAGTAATAGTGATGCGCACAACCACATGCTCCAAGTAGATCACATGGTGGTTAGGATTATCTGAACAGCCAGTGGCTTTGTAAATTGAACGGACAATGCTGTCAGGTCGTATTGTTCTATAATAGAAACATAGCAAACAACATTATCATTTCTTGCTTTTTGTGTAAAATAGACAACCACATATTTTTTGTTTAGCAGTGAATGACAGGGTGGGACAATGAGAAGTCGGTAGAATATAACCATTAGTTTTAACATGTACTTCCTAGCTAAAAATATCATCACAGAGTAATTATTTTGCTGCAGCTAATGGCTAATGGCTAATGGCCTGTACTTCTGTTAAGCACGTACCCAAGGTAAAATAGGAATAAGTCTTTCGGACAGAGCATTTTTGTGGATTAGTGGCCAGCTGAGAATTGCTAGGATTGTCATGGAATCACAGCCGGTTGCTAAACCCCAGGAAATGCCTGGCATAGTTATAGTCCTTGCTTACGTAACAGCAAGTATTACATATTAACTGTACTGAATGGCATGTGGTTTAAATTGGCATAGTATCCTTGCAGACTATACCAGTTATGGATCAAGCCTGCCAAATATAATTATCAAACAATAATCTTAATGCTTTGAAAGTGTGCCTTATAATTGATGCTGTCTCTATATCCATACAGTGCACAAAGAGAATTTTGCTCTTAAGCCTGGTTCTACAGACACTCTATCCTAGCAAGTGAAAAACAGTTTAGTCTTAGGCTCTGAGCTAGAGACTCTCCTAAGACTATTTGAGAGAGTATGGAAAGTGTATTTGCTTCTTAGATCCTGGACTGGTAAGTCTGTACTTTTCTTACAAGGGTGACTGAAGTTCACTCAACCAAACATTGTTCTTTGGTGCATCGTCCATATCAAAATTTATCGTTATCCAGTCTGGCCTGTTTTACACCTAGTTCTTTAAACTAGGGCCTTTCCCCAAGCACTACAGGGAACAATGTTTACAGGCAAATGACCTGACATCTGTGAATGTGACAGAGATTCGCGGTATAGCTTTCAAAATGCAAAGGAGGGGTAAATTATACCCAAATTCTTTCCATAAATTTATGCCAGCAAGAGTTTTGGTAGCAGGTATTACTTGATTTGCCGATCTGTGTTCTCCACACACACATGCTGTGGAGGGACTGTTGTCCACTTTTCTGCTTCTATCACCATTGCTTCAGCATCCATCAGTCCAAATCCATAGAGGTGGCTCACTGCAAGGTACAAACAGAATGGTTGCAGTTATAACATAAAACTTTGGTTTTCATCATAGATTAATTCCAGAGAGTCACATCCTAACAGCAGCTGCTTCTTTTCTACTTCTTCCTTGCTTTCTCTCAAAGCTCAAAAATCTCACTGTCAGAAACATTAATTACTATATCTAATTTATTCACTAAATCTGTTCACTGCTTTCTTACAGAACTGGCATGAGGAGCTACCTACACTGCTATCTACCATGGTAGGAGCTACCTACCATGAGAACTGCAGAAGGCCAGAGAGTAAAATTGCCTCTGACTACTACTACATGGACTACACTTTGTCCATGTGTCTTAATTTTGCCCTCTTATATGAGATAATACTAAAAGGTGTAAAGAACAAGAGGAAGGTTATTTCTGTTACTCCAGTACCAAACACATGCATGTACCTGTATTAAAGGTAACTGAGACAATAAATTTAAGATGGAACAGACTGTCTTTTGTAACTGTTGTATTCTCTTAACTTCCTTGAGTGTAAGCAGCATGTAGATGCTCTCCTGTTCCTGTATGCAATATGGTTGCCACCGATCAAACAACCAGGTAGAGCCAACATTTCCCTAAAGCTGTGCATGATGAGGGTGAAAAGCACTTATTGAATCAGCTGTGTGGTTCTGGTTACTGTTCCAACCAAAACAGAACCTTGCAAATGGATTTTGTTGAATTAGAAGAGCTGCTAGACATGTTGTTTTATTGTGTCAAGTTAGGGCTTTTGATAAAGTTCTGACAGCAGAAGGAGTGAAAGAAAAAAGCTTCCACAGGGAGGAGATTAGATAGGAAATATCAATAAATTAGTTTGCTTGCTACCAGGACCATGCTACCAGGAAACCCCTTAATTTGTCTGTTCGTACACTAGAATTTTAATTAATAATCCTCCTGTCATCTCTGAAAATCAGCGGGAGGAACAAGTCTTAACTCACGTAGTCTGTAACTGTACACAGTTACTCTGTGTAGTACATTCAAATAGTGAGGATTAAATTTTCAGGAATGGAAAATTTTTTCAGCTAACTCACAGAAAATGTATTTTCAATTCCTGACAATTAGCAACTTACATTGACTTAGCACTCAGAATGTCCAGTTATATATATATATGTGTGTGTGTGTTCAACCCAACTACTGAGCTCAAAGGAGAGCCAAGATTCTCCTCAACTCACCTTCTCTTACCCAGAAATAAGGGCAGAAGAGCACCTAACTTTGCCACCACTAAGCAGTGACCTTTTGATGGAAACTTAAGTGACTTTTAATCTATTCATCCTAGAATTTTTTTGCCCTAATATGCACATTAAAAATGCAAATAAAATCTAAAGAGTAAACTTTCTATCTTTCCCATCCTAACAATTACTTGGGACATAGAATTTAGGAGAAATTTTCATTCAGGAGAAAAAATTACCAATCAAGGCTATGTGGTTGTGTTAACTGTCCGTGATTCAATGCTTAAACTCTTTTGCATGACAGCAGAGGTGTGAGTGAGAATTTCTGCACCTGTTTGCTTCTTTTCTTTCCACAGCTGAAACAGAAGTACATTTTTTCCTTGAAAGGCCTTTGCATTGAAATAAAAACTTCCTGACAGTCAGGGATGTGGGAAGCTGACATTTAGCTGTCTGCAATGTTTGCACTTCAAAGCCCTTGATGCAGTGGGCTGGTTAGCAACTGATGGTACCAGTAGAGGTGCGTAATTTTCAAAGACTAAGTAACAGCAATTTAGGAAATAATCACAGAGTTAGACAAAGTAGATGTGTCTTACAGAAGAAAGCAGATTTTGTTCTCTACTACCTTCAAATTGTGTCCTTTCATCTGCATACATGCTAGTATTGCTGTGCCAAGGTGTATCTCTCTGAGGTTAAAAATTACCTGAATAGTCCATATGGGGCCATAAATGTCTCCTGGGAAACACCTGGAACTGCCACTGATTCATTTGCAAATGGTACTGAGTTGACTTCTGCTAACCCAGATATAAAAGCAGTATCTGAAAGGTACTGATGACGGCAGACTAAGTTAACTGCAAGTGCAAAATGCCTCCAGACCTTGCACCAACCCACTTATGTGCTCTACATTATCATTGCTGTGAATTCCTACTGGGCTCAGTTGATGCTAGGAATCATTAAGGACGTCAGATGGAATATTGGACTGTTTTGTAAGAAGACATTTATCTTTCAGAGAAAAAATACAAATGCGAGGTTTGTGCAATATAAGCTGGTGACTAAGGAGTAGTACAAGAGTCCACTAAGGAGGATTGCTCTTGTTCAACTGAGGCATTAAAAAATGTGATCATCTTGTGATGATGTCCAAGCTGTCCATTGGTAGAACTGCAGCAATGTAACTCATCATTTATATTTCTGCAAAATAACAGGCATACACAGAGCTTTACAGATGCAGGGCATGTTTCAGGAAAAACTTGCCTCCCACAACACAATATAAATACTGAGTTTTAACTGATCTCTTTAATCTTATCACTAAAGAAAATAACATTTCTCAGGACTTCATTTATTAATCTCTACAGCAATTCCTTCACCAGTGCACCATGAAATCAAGGCCTTCTCAGCTGCTGGAGAGGCTTCCCCAGTTTTTTCATCATCCCTTTGTTTTTGTCTGAAACTGCTATTGAAAATTCATTAACTTTCTCATTTCTATACAAAGAGTATGCAAAGCTATCCCCAAATCTAAAGGCAGAATGTATACCCCACTTGACTTGACTAAGAGATATATGAACAGCTGGTCTTGATAAATCATAACACAGAATCATGCAGACTTCAGAAACTGAAAACACAACATTTCCAGTGCAGCCAAACCTGATTTGTTAGGCTGCAGTTTTATTGCCTGTCATCAAGATATCTCATCAGTAACTTAGATGCTATTTTACTCATCGGACAAAAGCATTGCAGAATACTTTCTCCCTGGTATATTTTTGGCCTTTCCTATATAGTATTCTATATACTGTGAAAGCAGCATTTGAAATATAAATACTTCGTATACACATACCAAATACTACATCAGAAAGAGAGAAATGGTAATAATTTCAGATTGTCAAATGAGGAACATGCAGCTTCCTTAACTATGTTAATCTGTTTGATTGTAAACTATTATGATTATTTGTTTATGCTACTATAGGATCTTGATCCAAAATGAGATTTACTGAATAGGAATCTAAAATACTCCTTATACTGTGGTTTTCTTAAATGTTGCTTAGCAAGTCTAGAAGATGTGAGACCCTCATCCCAAAAATACTTTAAACTGACCAACCTTTTACATTTGACATTTTAATTGCAAAAAGAAAGATTTAATTCTGTACCACTTTAATAATTTTATATTGCTTCTCTGTTGCTTGCTTAGTATACATAAATGCTTCAACTAGGAAAAACAATTGTCTAATGAAAATTAAGGGACAAAAAAGGAGAAATGTTACAATGACATGGCTTACACTGTTTTATTTTGTCAGGTCCTATCTGAGAGAACACTAATCTTGAATGAGAATTCATCTTCTTTCAGCCATATTGCTACTTCATGTCAATATATGATGAGAAACCTGTGATAACCGGGTGTGATTTCTGAAACACATAACTGATTTTACAAGCCAGCAACACAGCCATGCAAGAACATGCTTTTTTAGTCTTGCTTTTAAAACCAATTTCTCATGTTTTCAAGTTAAGCGTACTTTTTGTATTTTATACAGAACTGATCCCTCAATTTTTCTACTTAAAAACAAAGCAAAGGGCAAACTAAGTCCTTCTTTCCCACAGAATTCCCTGAAATCCATGATTTTTTAAAGACTCAGCAGAGATTCTGGAAGATTGAGTTCTTACACTTACCAGCACATTAGAGAAGGTTGTGAAGAACAGAAAGTTGCCCAACAGATTTGTCTTAAAAGCGGCAGCTACAAAGATGCACAATGAGAATCTGAAGGGCCTCTATATCATAGAATCATAGAAGCATAGAGTGGTCTGGGTTGAAAGGGACCTTTAAAACTCAGCTACTCTGACCTCCGTGCTGCAGGCAGGGAGACCTTCCACTGGACCAGGCTGCTGAAAGACCTGTGTAACCTGGTCTTGCACACTTCCAGGGATGGGGCATCCAACAGCTTCTCTGGGCAATCTGTTCCAGTACCTCACCATCCTCATCACAGAATCATAGTATCATAGAATGTCAAGGGGTTGGAATGGACCTTAAAGATCACCTAGTCCCACCTCACTTCCATGGGCAGGGTCACCTCTCACTAGACCACGTTGCTCAAGGCCTTATTCAACCTGGCTGTAAACGCTGCCAGGGCTGGGGCACTCACAACCTCCCTGGGCAATTTGTTGCAGAGTATAACCACCCTCACAGTAAAAAATTTCTTCCTAATATCTAACCTAAATTTCCTCTCTGTCAATTTGCACCCATTGCTCCTTGTCCTATCACTACAGTTCCTGATGAAGAGTCCCTTGCCGGCTTCCCTGTAGGCCTCCTTAGATACTGAAAGGTTGCCATGGGCTCTCCACGTAAACTTCTTTTCTCCAGGCTGAACAGCCCCAGCTTTCTCAGTCTGTCTTCATAGGGGAGGTGCTCCAGTTCTCCTAACAACTTCATGGCCCTCCTCTGGACTTGCTCCAACAGTTCTATGTTCTTATGTTGGGGACACCAGAACTGAACACAGTAAACCAAGCAGGGTCTCACAAGAGCACAGTAGAGGAGGAGAACCACCTCCCTTGACCTGCTGCTGGCCACGCTTCTTTTGAGGCAGCCCAGGATTTGGTTGGCTTTCTGGGCTGCAAGTGGACACTGCTGGCTCATGGTGAACTTTTCATCAACCATCACTCCCAAGTCTTTCTCTGCAGGGCTGCTTTCAATCATGTCTCTGCTCAACCTGTAGGTGTGTCTGGGATTACTGATACCCAGGTGTAGGATCTTGAACTTCACTTTGTTGAACTTCATGAGGTTTGCCTCAGCTCACCTCTCGAGCCTGTCCGGGTCCCTCTGGATGGCCT